GAGAGGGTCCAGAGGAGGGCCACCCGCATGATCCAGGGATAGCAGGGCAGACCCTACAATGAGAGGCTACGGGACCTGAACCTGTTCAGCCTTCACAAGAGAAGGCTGAGGGGGGACCTGCTGACCGTCTATAAACTCACTAGGGGGGACCAGAAGGGTTGGGGGAGACCTTGTTTCCCCTAGCGCCTCCCGGGATAACAAGGAATAATGGCCACAAGTTTTTGGAGAGTAGGGTTAGATTAGACATCTGTAAGAACTACTTCACAGTTAGGGCGGCTAGGATCTGGAACCAACTTGCAAGGGAAGTGGTGCTGGCTCCTACCCTGGGGGTCTTTAAGAATAGGCTTGATGCCTACCTGGCTGGGGTCATTTGAGCACAATTTTCCTCCTGCTCAGGTCGGACTTGAAGATCTAGAAGGACCCTTTCGACCCTACTTCTACGATTCTATGATACCAAGCAATATATGGCTCATTTTCAGGGAAATCCATTTTTCACTTGACCCAACCCATCTGCTCTCATCTTTTTGGGTGGGATACCTGAGAGAAGATAATAGGGGGGCAAAAGGAAGTATCACCTATGCAATATATTATTTCTTGGTTCCTTCTATCGTTCTCTTTGGAAGAGTAAAAAGTAACGTGTAATTCTGAGAAGCTTGAGGACATTTTCATTTGCAAAGCGCATTGTGAATACAGAGCTAATCTTCTCAACAACCTATAAGTTAGGCAATTCAGTATTTTATTGTTGCTCTTGCTGTCATATTGCCTACAGGTCCCAAATGCAGTGTCCTACTGTGCTAGGCATTGACATAACAAAAAGACAGTTTGCCTCTCCAGGAATGTACAGCCTGAGTATGATCCTAATTAAATAGGTAGATAAGGGATCAAAGATAAAAAGTTTTGAAATTCTGGCTCCTTGGGAGTCCATGGTGGAGCTGCCGAACAGTCAGTTGTGCAGGATCAGAGGCAAAGTAAGCATTACAGCTAGAAGCAGAATTTGGAGCTGTTTGGTTCTGAGCCTGGAATTCAACTCGTATGATCAGACCTCTTTCTTACTTGAAACAGGTAAAAACCTTTCGTGAAATAACAAAAAAATATTTTTCCTGGTGACAGCATGATTTCTTTTGCATGCAGCAATATGGCCATCATTTCAAAGCCAGAATAACTAAGTAAGAAACACCTCTCTTATGCAGAACAACCTGTCCAAACTTCCTCTAAGCAACTGCAGGTTTTGCACAGAATTAAGATACTCTCAAACTTTGAGGAAACAACTTTTGCTCCTTAAATGGGCAGCTTCATGGTGATCACTTTTTAGATGTGAACCTTCAATTGGCAGCATGCAAATGGACTGCTGAACTGAAACATTATTTTGTATGGTGCACGTACTCAAGTGAATATTAGCAACACACTGTGGATTCCTTTGGCATTAAATGTCTTCGCCACTTTGCTCCCTCAGCCTGCTCTCAGGGCTTTGCTTAATTATAATTCCTGGGCTGAATACAAAAAAACAAGTATTCATATTTAAATAAATCAAATATGGAAATATTTAACACTATAAAAAAGTGCAAACTCTCACTGTTGTTTGATATGGCACGTAAAAGGTAACAACTCAGACTGCAGCTGTAAAGCAGATGTATAAATTCATCTGATGATCTCTCAAAAACATCACCATGTAGTCTTACTGGTTTTAGTGGCAGCAGTGGGTGCCTGGTGTCTCTGAAAACTGGTTCAGCCTAAATATTTCTAGATTCAAAGGTTTGGAGGACTGACAGGATCAGTACGCTCATCTACTCTGCCCTCCTGTACAATACAGATGGTTGACCAGTAATTCCTGTGTCCAGCCCGGATCTTCTAGTTGAGCGAGGGCACAGCTTATAGGTTACCTTGTAAGTGTTACAAATGATTGTCCACATGGATTTATAAAGCAATCCAGGGTCATGCCAATGGAAGGTACAACAGATTGTACTTAAAGGGTGCTGCATGACCTGATCTGGAGCACTTCTGTACCTGCTCATGTTTGTCACAACCCTACTCTAAGAGGGACTGTTCTCACTGTCTGCATGGACTGTAGGGGTTTTTGCCTCCCTCTATAACAGATGGCATGGTCTTTTTCCTGGGATCTTGTGAGTATATTTTAATAAACTACTTAGGTCCTTGCAGATGGTGCCCTCATCCCCCTGGTTCACCCATGGTGGGTTAAAGTGTTCTTGGTGCCTTGAGTCAATGTTCTTGATAGCTGTGCAACAGGGTTGTTTGTGTAGTTTTAAGAATAGGTTCGATATGCACTTTTATAGGATGGTTGCATGGGGATGACTCTGTGTTGAGTGGGGGGATGGACCAGATGATCTCCTGAGATCCCTTTCAGCCCCACTTTTCTATGATTCACTCTTGAAAGGGTTGACATCCCTTTCCTCATCTGGCCAGTGCAAAGTTGATGCCTGTGTGCCCTTTGGAGCACAAGCGTTTCCTTAGCTCTGATGGGGAGAGCACAAGGATGTGGTGATAAATACCCTCCCTCCTTTTTCTCTCCTTTCCATAAACCTGAACAAGCACTAGCAACAACCAAACCTGCAGCTTTCGGTGACCAAAATGCCCTCTAAGACAATAACTCTTCCCGAGAAGCACAGTGGAAGCATTACTTTCTGCGACATATTTTGGTATCTGCACCAAGGGAGGCTTGCGCACAAACAGTTAATGAAGGCTTCAGGCCCCATGTGCTAGCACATTCCCACATAGTGTGCTGATGGAGGAAATGGCAATCACGCAGGTCTGTGGTGGTGACCAAAAACATTCAGTTTGGACAAGTTCCAGCAATGCTCTGAGGAAATGGAAATGAGAACAAATGCCACCAGGGAGAGAAGTGATGTTCAAGAGATCAAGTGTTAGAAGACATTGTGACTTCTCTCAAAATCAAAACAAAAGAGGACCCGGAAAGCAGGAGCTGCTGCTAATCCAGGCTCTGCCTCCTGCAGAAAGCTGGATCCTTACCCTGCACACTCCCATAGAGTCCTGAGAAGAGAGCTGGATGAAAGGTTGTCACACCATTGCCTTTCACAGACTCATAGAGCAGTAGGGCTGGACAGGACCTCCAAAGGTCATTTAGTCCAACCCCCTGCTAGAGGCAGAATCATCCCTATTGAGACCATCCATTACAAATCCTTGTCTAACCTATTAGTAAGACTACACATTCAACCCTGACATACAGCCACAAGGCATGACACCCTAACCTGCCACAGATAAAGGAAGGGGACAATGGCAGCCAATGTCCTGCTGCTGTAAGGGT